TTAGGTTTTCCTTCAATTAAAGATCTTGTTTTTTCTTTCACATTTTGGAAATTATAAAAGCTTGGGTGACCGGGAGATGTGAATTGAGATAAAGTTAGGATAATCAGCTTTATCTCAAAATGTTGAAGATACTTTTATAAACATTTAGTTTAGCTATTACTTTGGCATCTGGTTTGAGATAAATAGCTGTTGTCACAGAATACAAGTATGGATACTCACGAGGAATGTAGGTGAAATAGGAAAAGCTATCACTTGTTATCATGTAACCTTTAATCACTGTGATTAATTCCAGCAAGTGATAAAAAATTGGTTCAAATTGTTCCTTCTTCTTTAAATAAGCCACTTTAAACATTAAACTCTGTCTGCGGATGAAAGATCTAATAACCTAGTTTTAGTGATATACTTGGCAAGCAGTGTATGTCTGCAAATTCATCCAAAATATTTACCACTGCAACTAAAATGTTGAAAGTGTAATTTCATTTAAAAAGAACTTGACAAACCGTATACAACCTATAATGCTAATTTAGTTGCTAAGAAGAAAAAATATTTCTAGTCTTGTTATATTTATATATAAGGCATCACAGTGTTTGTGCTCAAGTTAGAGTTGCAGATGTGATGTATCACTTGCAGTAAGGAATAATTGAAAAGAGGTTGTTATTTGTAAGGATTGAATTAATTTCTTGCTAGCTATGCATAAGTAGCCTGAATGACCAAAATATAGATTTTAACTCTTTCAAAACTTACTGTAAATTGAAGAGACTTTCCCCTTATTATTAAGCAGTTTGTAAAATGGACCATACAGTGACAATATTAAGTTTGAAAAACTTTCTATGAAAGCATGAAATCTCCATGCAAATATCTTTTACTTGACTGTGTTCTTAGATCTACACAAATTGTTTTTCATACACGAAAAAATCTGACATGGTATGGATTTTTTGTCTGGGGATGCTGCATCAGATTCTAATGCAAGTAACATACACTCCAGTGGAAAGGCAGTGTATGATAGGAGGGGAGGGTAAAGGTTAGAAATCAGTTGATATTTTATCAGGTGATGGTACCAAGGAATCTAATTATATATTTAGGGACAGCTGATGTATCTTGTGCAGGTGTTTCTATGACTCATCCTGACAAACTAATATCTGCTTATTAACAGCTAAACCCTGGTTAATAGTTTGTTGACAGAGGTATGACTAGATCTGGTCTGAATAGCAAGTGGACACTGCTGGCTCCGAGTGACGTTCAGGGTAACAATGGTGGACATGTACATTACAGTATGAAAACATCATGTCTGAGTTTGATTTGAATTTTGAATTTCTTAGAAATTGTACGGGACCAAAAATACTACTATCTTGATTTAGGTATGAGTGAACTTAAGTTTGTAATGGTTTAAAGCTGTTTTAACTGTCAAAACAAAGTGTAGGAGTTGATGAGTTTGGTTTGTTAGTTAATTACGTACCTATATTCTGATGCTGGAAAGGGTTCAATTACGTAAACATCAAGTTGGAAATTGTAATTTTACATAAAAAAAAAGGGTTAAAATGTATATACAGGTGTACGTTTGTATCTGACAAGTCCAGTGTTAAGTTTATACCATCTGTATTAATTAGACAGCGAGATATTATATAGGTCACTAATGATCCTGTAATTTCTCAAGGTTACAAGCTGATGAGATATATAAGGGCCACTGTGTATAAAATTTTAACAATACTGAGTGTGTTTGTTAGTGCCCAGACAGGTTACAGATGAGTGGATGTGGGCATAGCGGCCCTGTCTACAGATATATAAATACTAATACTATTTATTGGGCGTGTTTGGTTGGTGTTTATTCTGCTTTCCCTGGTAGTACTGATTACATGCTTATGTAACATCAAATGTTTCCCCCCTGCCATAAACCCAAAAGTAATCTCAAACCTGGTGATAAAATTCCAACCGCCAGGGCCCAACTCCACCAGCACACACTAAGGATACTGTTGTGCTAGTCAAGGTATATATATATGTCTATGTGGCCTTCAGCATACTTAAGAGTGGGACTTGAATGTAATTGGTTTATGATTTGGTATTGACATCAATCATGACTAACAGGGATAAATCTGAAAGTATTGATTATACCTTGTATATAGGTATGTAGTAGGTCAGGTCTCCTTGCATGCACCTCTGGATTAAAGCCATGAAGACCCCATAGTTCAGTGTCTATAAAAAGAAGAGGCTGTTTTGTATAGTGGCTATCTTAACCGATATTGTTCGATTGATTTGCTGATCTGTATATGTAACACATGTTGAATCCTTTGCTACAAGTAGATACTATTCATAGTTTGAATTCTGATATTGTATGAGACCTGCTCACAATGTGTTTCTCATGTCCCTTGTGGGTATATATAGGCGTGTTGTATCCCTTTAAATTTTTACGTCCTATTGATTTTATTGGACCTGCCAACATTTGTTATGACCATTTTATATCTCTACTTTTCTTTATTTAGTTTCTCTCTACAAGGTGTAAAGCTTACAGGATCAATGAAGTACTAATGAGATCCTCAAACCTTTTGCAATTGGTGGCTTTTCAGTGCATACTGGGCAGTGACCAGATGTTTGCCTATTTAAGGAAAAGAATGTAATCATTAATGAATTTCTGATCAACCCTCACATTCTTAATATTAATACTCATTAGATTAACTTAAATCACAATCTAAATTATATATGTGATCAGGGTGTTGTCCTTACCATTGTGATGTAAAGACCTCACCTAAAATTGGATAATGTTCAAAGCACGACCTGAAACTATAAATATAAATTAACTATGCATGTTGAGTATTAGCATGTCGGGCAGCTGTAGGTGTGGTTTACTACAGAGTCGGTTAGTGTATATTGTTAGAAGTATTATTGCTACCGGCGAGAAAGAAAGCAGTTGTTATATACAGTTGATGTCCTCCCCTGCATTTTTGTATACAGAAAATATCCCCTATGACTATGACAGTCTTGTAACGTCTTTGATCTCTTAGGTTTATTTTGTCTGAATATTTTGCTGATGGTGAACTTCCATCTTTTGATGGATATGACTTGAATTGGAAATTTTGTTTATATGTAGTTGTGTTATACTGGAAGAAATATGCAAATCGAATAATACTTGGAATTCAAATGAAGTTGGTAATGGTTTTTTTGAGTTGTGTTTCTGCTTGGATTCTGTATCAGGTTGAGGAATCAAGTATGAAGCAGATCATATGTCTGCTGTTTAGGTTTGTTTGTGTAACATTATATAGTCTGTATAAATGACAATATTGATTTTTTGTGTTTGAAATTAAAATCATTAATATAGTCTTGGAGAACTAATGTGTATTGAAAGGCCTTTAATATATATGATCAATAACTGCTGTTATGGGACAGGTCTATATATATATATATTATATATATATATATATATATCAGGGCTTTCAATTGCATGTCATTTAGGCTTATGTACATCATTACTGGGCCAGCCTTTAGATCTGTTTCGTTGATATTAAGGTTTAGATATAAATATATCTACATCAAACCAGGGTCATTGTGGTCTGTACAATATGTACATTTAACAGGGTTGCCAGACCAGAGTTGCTGTTGTCTGAACATTCCACAGGACTTTCAGACCGGGTCATTATGATCTGTACATAACCAATAACCATGGGACTTTCAGACCAAGGTTACATTAGTCTTTAACTAACCAGGGTCATCTTGGTCCGTACATAAACACAGTAGTTTAAGACCAGAGTAACTGTTGTCTGTATATACCACAGGGCTTCAGGACCTGAGTCATTGTACATGTTACAGGGTCTTGAGGTCAGTATCATTTCAGTCTTTTCATGTAGACCAGAGTTACTTTGGTTTGTACATATCAAAAGATCCTTCAGACCAATGCCATTATGGTCACATGTGGTCAGTTTTTTATTGAGATGAGAAGCCTGCCTAGGCAATTACAAACACCTGTTGACGCTACAAGGAAAACTAGATTAGTGGTATTTAAATATTCCTAATGCTTTTGGGTATTTGTTAGTGGAGGCTAAAAGCAGCTATATATAGACACTATCTTTGTGTATACTTCAGTCGGTAAATTTAATCCATGTTTTGTTTTTGTATTGTTGAATTTCTTGTTTTCGTAAAACATACTATACATTTGTTCATATCTGATCTATGAAAAGGCCAGTGTTTAAGTTTTGGCATTTCGGTGATTACTTTGTTATTTAGGCCTGTTGTCAAAGTTATCTTGGATTTTAGTGAACCCAAAGCATATGATTCTCACACAACATTTAACAGTATGTAGCTGCTATGCAAACCTATGTCATATGAGTGTTCTATATCAAACATAAAGACAAGGCTAGTTCGGGGCTAGATTTCAATGTTATCAATATTATCTAGCAACATGTCAGATATTAGAAGCATTTTAAATAGGAAACAAAATGTTGACAGCTTCTTCCTAGATTAGTTGTCTCTGTGACAGGTGAGGGAGGTGACCTACTTTTACAATAATATAAAGGATACATATGAATAATAAATAATACCTGTGCTGCACAACACTAGACTTGCATTACACTAAGGCATAACATAACACTAAGGCATAACTTTCTGCAGGTAGACTATTCATCTAACAGGTTTCTTCATTTCCTCAAATACAATTGACATGAGAAGTAGATTTTGTTAAATTATCATTGCAAAGCCTGTAGGAAGTAATTAGATACAAATGGACAGTGTTATGTGATTACAATTGGGCATGAACCATATACACCTGTATATTACACCTGATTAGGTTCTTGTAATAATAAAAGGTCAAATGTCACATATTGTCACTTTAATGCCTATTTAAGTTCATATTCACAACATTGTATCATTTACCTTTTGGTTGGTTTGTTCCTCAGGGTTAGGGTCAAATCAGAGGATTTAAGCTTGTCTGTGTGAGCAAGTACAATTTATAGTCAATATATTGTGAAAGAATGTTAGGAAGAAAGAATAACCCATATTTTTACTGTTCATTGCAGATGCAACGCCAGCAGAGCGGGAAGACCTGTTTATACAGAAGATCCGACAGTGTTGTGTGCTGTTTGACTTTGTACAGGATCCTCTGAGTGACCTCAAATGGAAGGAAGTGAAGAGGGCAGCCCTAAATGAGATGGTTGAATTTGTCACCCAGAACAGGGGTGTCATCACAGAGGCCATCTACCCAGAGGCTATAGTAATGGTAAGCATCTGTCTGTAACCAACAACTCATACATATATTTTGAAAATTTGTAACTTTGCAAATTTGTAGACATTATCCACAAATTGGTGTCATGACATCTTAAAGTAACAATATTATTATATTCCACGGTGTTACATATTACAGTAGGCCTCCTGGTACGTTGCCCCACTTTTTTGTTTTAGTTGAAAATTTGGTATTTTGCAGAGAGATCATTTATCAATCAGGATAGAGCTTTCAATATTTAAGTAGATGTGACACATTATGGCTTCCAATGAGTTGATATGCATTTGATGCAGTTTCAATAGCTTATCTTGTGCTCCTGCAGCATAATTTGGCAGAGTATACTTGATTTACAGTGTCCATCTATTCATCTATTTGGAGAGGGAAGTGAGGAGAACTATTCCTTTCCCTGTGAAGCAATTTCAATGAACAAGATACATGTGATCAGTAATAAAGTTGTTTGCAATATTTTGGTATTTTTCTTGGATTTTGCCCCTTTAATGAAGTTTTAATTTACTGATCAGAACAAGGTTATGCTTACGCTGGGTGTGAATCTGACCTGTGTGTTTTAAGAATGCATATGATTGAATATACATATTTCATTGAAGGAGACCATACAGCCTGAAAGAATTATTTACATGCATTGTCTCTTTTGCAGTTTTCAGTCAATTTCTTCAGAACGTTACCCCCTTCATCGAATCCCAACGGGGCTGAGTTTGACCCCGAGGAAGATGAGCCAACGCTAGAGGCATCATGGCCACACCTACAGGTAAAAATGGGTACTGATTAGATTATCATCCCATGCCCATGTAGCAAGGGCATAGAGAGAACTAAGTATTCCATTAGAAGATATATCCCCTAAAAAATCCTAGAGTTACACAGCAAAGAACTACATCATGAGATTTATGTCGTCTAGAGAAATATAGTGTATCATTTTCTTTTACTTCTCTTACCGTCAATCAAATAGATGATGAAACATTACTTTTATTTATACCTTGAAAAGATTATAACAGTATTGGTACCTTCAAAATATGTTCAACATTGTAACTTAATTGAATACGATTCTTTCTCCTTTCAGTTGGTTTATGAATTTTTTCTACGATTTTTGGAGTCGCCGGACTTTCAGCCCAATACAGCCAAGCGTTATATAGACCAGAAATTTGTATTACAAGTAAGTACAATGGGATAAGAGGATATTTGTGCACATTTATGAAAATTAAGCTAGAAAAATTGATAATGAAAAATATATATTTTTCAGTCATACAGGTTTCATATCACTTATCAGAATAAAATTGCATATGATTGAAATAAGCATTTGACAGAAAAGCTTTAATAAGTTTACTTGGTCTGTGTTATAGCCCTTGTTTTGGTGGAGGTATTTCCTCTTTGTGAGTTTACAGTAATGTATATTTCACATTAAAAGCATTATCATTTTGAATTTTCAGCAATTAGAATTATTTGACAGTGAAGATCCTAGGGAAAGAGATTTCTTGAAAACAATATTACACAGAATATATGGCAAATTTTTGGGACTTCGGGCATACATCAGGAAACAAATCAACAATATATTTTATAGGTAAGAACATGGAGAACATTTTCAAGTGGAGTAATACTGTATTGACTAAATTTTTTATTTACTGATAAATACATCTATCATAATTCAATATACAGATTTTACATAGGTTACAGAATGAAGAAAGTACTAAAACAGCCAGAATCTTTATGCTTCTATTAAAGTACTGTAGGTGTAGCCTGTTAGTGTTTGGGTTATTAATGTCTCCATCTCTGTGTTGTTTCTGTGTTGATAAGTTGTTGATGGTCAGCTGTTAATCATCTGCTGTGGCCATCTGGATTAGTACGGAGAGTATACTAAAAGTGTATATATGTATATATACCACTGATGTGTATTGTATTCATGGTTCAGATTGTAGCTGTTAACTGGCCATTATTGATTTTCTACAGCATCATAACATAAGGATTGGTAGAACCTTATTCAACACCTGTTGGGTAGCATGTCGGATTTACACCTACATGATTAGATAACATGTTTACTGGCTAGGGAAACTAGTTCTACTGCAGCTCATATGGCCATAACTCAGTTGGTCATTTTACAACTATAACAAATGTTGCTTAATGGAAAATATTTGTTTATTTGATTGTGTCGAAGAAATGTAATTTATCCCAGATTTTTATACTCTTGTCTTCATTTCAAATTCTGATAATTTCTAATTGTTCAGCATGTGTACAATGTGGTTCATAACAGAGCTAGTTATACTTTTTACTGTCCATATATTTTGTGCGTTTATGTGTCAAAGCTAAATGTTTTCCCCTTTCCTCGCTCATAAAAGTAAAATTGACAATCCATATTGTGAAATATTTGTCTTTAAGCTTGATGAAAATCACACAAACAAAAAACAATTTTTGAGTGTAGAAGTTATTGAAACTTGTAATACTAGTGTTAATACTTTTATGAAAGTGTGTGTATATAAATTGAAAATTTATTAACATGAGTTTTTTCACATTTTTTTTTCAGTTTTATTTATGAAACAGAACATCATAATGGTATAGCAGAATTACTAGAAATATTGGGAAGGTAAGGTATAAAAGAAATAATGACAAAAGTTCAGCATTTTAGAATATTCAACATCAGCAACAATTTTAACAGCTATGTATATATATAGATGGCCAATATTGACTAAACCTAAACACTAAACTCGAGAATATTCGACATCAGCAACAATTTTAACAGCTATATATATATATAGAAGGCCAATATTTAATGAACTCTAGAATATTCAAGTATATCAACAATTTTAACAACTTTATATATATGGCCAATAATCTACACTTCAACAGTGTGATCAACAGCTTTGTCACCTTTTGACTTTAATACTGGTAAACTGGTTTAAAGCAATGTGCAAGAGACCTTATTCTGTACTCAATAACTATTTATAACAAACACCTTTTACTTTTACATAGTGTATATGAGTATCTATGATGAACAGTTTCAGGCTTTGTCTCAGTAAACTGATTAAGTGTTTTCTTATGTATATTTCAGTATTATAAATGGTTTTGCGTTACCACTGAAGGAGGAGCACAAAGTGTTTCTTCTGAAGGTTTTGTTACCCCTCCACAAGGTGAAGTCTTTGAGCGTGTACCACCCACAGCTGGCCTACTGTGTGGTACAGTTCCTTGAAAAGGACCCCAGCCTCACAGAACCTGTAAGTAGATCTCCCAGAATTTTGTACCAATATCTTTTAATCCTGTCTTTATACTGTGAATAAGTATATTTTGGCATACCATTTTTATTCTAATGAATTTCTAGGGGAGTGTGAAATTTTCACAAAATTTTCAGACTAGGTTGTCGGGTACATAATAGTAACGATATATGAAACAGACTGTAGTGGCATCTTAGTTTCCCATGAGTGTATGAAACATTTTTAAACAATTGGACAAACACTTTGGTGCTTGTGTATGAAACTGAATTGAAATTGCTATTAAACATTACTGTCATATCTTCTGTATGAAATAACACGATGCCAAGTGTGTCAAATTACGAAACAATGTTGATATCTTCGTGCCTCTCTTGATTGAATTGAGGAATTGGACTATTTAAACTCATCACAATGTCCAGAGTGAAGTGAAATATGACATTATGCCCTTTAAAAGTGAAAGTAAAAAAATGATATTTTGTGTTTTGTAAACATTATAGATTGTAGGTTATCAGATGTTTCCCAAATTCTCATTGATGATATTTCTTTTAGTTTATTCTGACTCTTTGTTTTATTACAGGTTATAATGGGATTATTGAAATTCTGGCCGAAGGTCCATAGTCCAAAAGAGGTACGCTTTCAAATCATATATCAGTTACCTGAATTGAATTTTACATTACTTACGCAGATCTTTACATTTCTAAGAGGTTATGAACTCTGTACTGATTTCTGTTTCAAATCTTTCTCTGTTCTTAGTTTAATGCAATATTTACTGAAGTTGGTAATTACTTGTTTCAGGTGATGTTTTTGAATGAATTGGAAGAGATTTTAGATGTGATAGAACCCGCTGAGTTCACCAAGGTGATGAACCCACTTTTCAAACAGCTAGCCAAATGTGTGTCCAGTCCCCACTTTCAGGTGCGTATTATACACTGCTGTGTGTTAAAAGGGGTTGATGATGAAAACTTGTATAACAGGTTTAAACAGTTGAGGCTTTATGTACACTCAGTACAATTGACATCATTTATGGAATAAAACTGGTATCACTATGATATCTGGATCCTGGTATCGGGATAATGTTCAACTTCATCCTCTAAGGAATTGCTTAACTTATTAGTTTTAATGATGGTACACCAAAATGATGATTCTAGTTTCAGGATTCCTTCTGATATTATATTGGATTATTTCAATATTATTGTGCAAGAGAGAGTGCCTTATTGTATTTGGAGTGTGACCTTATCCTTTCTCCTACTCTTCATTGTGTAGCTTTGTTTTGTCATATGTTATCTTCAGATTTGCATAATGATATTTGTCTATTTGAAATCTCGTTATGTTGGATTGCTTTGTATTAATGATTTGAATACCTTGTAGGTTATATGAGAGAAGACACCATCTTTTTCGTACCAAGGAAACAGTGTTTGATTTGTGTTTGCACTCTAACCACAGAGATTTGTTTACAGGTAGCAGAACGAGCCTTGTACTACTGGAACAACGAGTATATCCTCAGTATGATCTGCGATAATGTTTGCGTCATTCTACCCCTCATGTTTCCTGCCCTTTATCGCACCAAGCAGCACTGGAACAAGTAAGCCGACACCTGAGCGACAGCCTGTGTCCGGCAATTCTATCCAAACCAGGGCTCCATGCCATGGCTGTTTTTTTAACAATTTGATTTTTGATTTTTATTGGAAGTGTCAATAGCAGATGTCTTCTGGCTTTTTGATTTTGCGTGATAACGGTTTTGTGATCCTGAGCATGAATACACTACATTCCATAAATGTGATCAGGGAGATGTTTTAAGTAGAGTTCTGTCTTACTTTTGATTTTTAAATCAAATGACATAAGTTTTTGGTTGTAGAAAGGGAGGTAAAATATATTATAACATCTCCTAAACTGAATTATGATGTTTGTAGTGTCTTCCTGATCAGTGTGAATGGTTGTGTTGATCATTTCTTACAATAATACTGTGGCTTGCTTTATGTTCTTAATTTCTTACCTTCTTTTATACCTAGCGACTTTTCAGTTTTTTGGCTTTTCATCATAATATGTGTAATTTGTGTTGTTGTCTTCATTTACTGTTTTAATGACTGAAATATTGTTCTGACAAGTTATGTGCCCTTTGTTGTTGGTTTGATCTACAGGTGGCAGAGAGAGCTCTGTACTTTTGGAATAATGAGTACATCTTGAGTTTGATCACTGACAATGCCTCTACCATCCTGCCTATCATGTTCCCAGCTTTGTATAGGAGCAAGGAGCACTGGAACAAGTAAGGCCACGGGACGGCACATCTGTCAGTCACTAGTCGCTGGGTCCCACTGTGTAATGTTCCCCTTCACCACACTGCCAGTCAGATATTCACAACATTAATGGATTTAAAACTCAAAGCTTAAGGAATATGTCCTCTGTATTAACATTTTCAAATTCTTTCTAATTTGATGTACTTAGTGTTTAAAGAAAGATGTCTTTCATTCAGGAATGTAAAAATTTATTGCAAAACCGAACAACTTAGAAATCCACTTATAACCTGGACCGAACCTTCCAAAAGGTATGCTATGCAATTGAAATATAATACTTTTAAAAAACCCTTAATCACATATGGTGTGTAAAACATTTCATGTGTGAAATATTTCAGTGTTCTGAGCAATTTACATATCTTCAAACACAAATATCCTCAAATTTCAATTTGTATTGTTAGTCCATTCGGTTGTTACTAACACAATGTAATTTGCTATAATATGAAGATTTTCATAACAAGTAGAAACACTCAGAAGATTAATGCATGTATTATGAACCTACAGTGAAGCATTACTCTTTATTACATTTTGCCTGTGAAATATGAGAAAATATTAACTTTATAAAAATTTCAGAAACACAAATATTTAGAAAGTGTTCTTTCGTTAGGTCTTTTACAGTTAGTGATCGCATTAATATTTCAAACCTGCAGGTTGATTTCTACATCTTTTTAAACTTCTAGTTGTCTAACCAGCTGATATTTCATGAAGGTTTGCTTTCTCTGCCGTAGAAATAGAGAGGGAACAGTTGTGTGTACTTGGGGTTCCATAAATTTTGATTTTCCTTTGTTAGACATAAAAGTTGAGTTGTAAATACCAGCATATGTTTTGATGTAGTGTATTGTGGTTAAAAGATGGAATATTCCATTCTATAAGTTAATGATATTTTTTGTATTTGGTTGTGATTTTTTTCTTCTATCTTGCATGAATATTCTTCTCTAAACTTCATAAATTTGATTGTAAATGGTCAATATGGTCAATAGAAGGACTTGTAAGTTTATAATTTTGCATGTTGAGGTCTTCTTTTGTGATATACAGCTTTGTCTGGAGCATGGACATTTTTTTATCTCTTTATGTTGTTGGTATAAAAAGGAATGTATATCCTTTAAACATACTGTGTCTTTCACCTGTTATATGACATCACCCAATCTACTGGTGGTTAGATAGAGATATTTGTGTTTATAGGAAAACCAACATGAAGATTTTGAAGCATGGTTATGGTTTGAGATAAATAGTGTGCAATGGCCATGGTTAACCAACTGTTTTCAGTATTAACTTGTCTGATCTCACAGCTCATCTAACAGAGTGAAACATTCATCAAACTGCTGACCTGCTTAACATGCCATTGATCCTTAATATTCATTGATGTAGTTAAGCTGTGTATGATATTTGAGATCTATTCTTAATTGTGAAAATTGAAGGATTTCAGTTTATATATAGGGTAGGGAAACTGTTGATCATGTATAATGGATTACTGGGTATTGATTTTTGTCCTAAACTGTAACATTGCCATGTGAAGATGCATGTTTGTGTGTTATTTTGCAGGACGATACATGGGCTTATATACAATGCTCTGAAGTTGTTCATGGAAATGAACCAGAAACTGTTTGATGATTGTACACAACAGTACAAAGCAGAGCGACAAAAGTAAGCTTACACACTTATGAAACTCGTGTATAATTGGAGTTTGTGTTGGGAATATACGTAATATATACCACTAGCTTATACGAGTAAGAGACTGGTGTATTATTAGTTTGTCGCAGAAACAATCTGTTTTAATATGTATGTAATCACTAACTAGATTTCACAAGTAGGAGGATCAAGTGTAAGTAGTATGTCAAGACACATCAAAAAGTAAAATAACAATTTTAATTATACAAATTTGTTCTGGTGAAAGTGTACTACAATAGTCAAACTTTAAAAAAAAAAAAAATGGAGTGTGTTTTAAAATTTAAATTTCATTCATATTTGGTTTCCAATTTATATAGAGATTAAATATTCCATTTCTTTTTTAACAGAGAAAAGGAAAAGAATAAGCACCGAGATGATGCGTGGACGAAAGTACACAACCTAGCATTAGGAAATCCACAAGTACGTATGACAGTGTCTGTCTAGGACAGCAGGATTTGTTGAGCTATTTTAATCACCATTTTCTATTGCCTGCTGATTTTAGTTGATGTGAATAGATAAATGTTCAGGTTGTCTAATCAATCTCTAAAGAATCCTGTTAGTATAAAGCTTTTGCTAGTTACATGCGTGATCTTAGATTTGCTACATTTGAACTGGGCCTGTTCTAAAGGTAGAAAATGTGTTCATTAATTACTTTTAGCCATTTTCTCCATGATGTTGGTATATTAAAAGTATGTCAAAAGTCTCCATGGTAACCACTAGGATAATTAACCAACCACTATCATGTGGTGACCTGTTCAAATTGCCTGTCCATCTGTTGTTCCTCCTTAAACTATTCTTGTTATGGCTATTTCTCAAGAAGTATGTCATGGATCTTGCTTTGATTTCTTGTGTTGGTTTCCTTTGGTCCCTGGTAGTGCCTGTGAGGTTGGTCAGATAAACATAATGATGAGCTGGTGGCCATCTTGCATTTTGACATTGAAAGATACGGATCTTTCTCATATTGCATATGTAGGTTGCTACTGGTCCTTAGTGATGTCCTTCACTTTTAAAAACAAATCAGAAAAACAAAGTAGTTAAAAGGTAACCATCTTTGATTTTGATAAGGAAAGTTTGTTATAACTATTTCTAGGGTACACTGGTTGGATATTTCTCAGATTTAATATGTAGTTTCTCTTTATTTAAAATGTTCCTTTTTCTATTGGAATGATTGGGATTTGCTCAAATTTGGTCCAAAGCATTCTTGGGTGAAGAGGAATCAATTTTATTTAAACGGTTCGGTCTAAGTTTCTTGAGCTGAAGGTGGGCTCAATATGGCAAATTCTTTAAAACTCTTCTTCTTCTTCTGTAGAAATACCTTGATGTTGTCTGAGTTTTGGCTGAAGTATACTCGAGTTCAGTGACTCAATTTCAAATAAACAGTGGATCTCTGTCCTTTTGAGTGGAAGGGGTGGGGCCGGAAAGCGGAATTAGAGAAAATTCTTTAGAATCATTCTTATGTAGGAATGCCTCTATTCTGTCCCAATGTGGTCCGAGACTTGGTTGGATGAAGAGGATCAATTTTGTATGAACTGGGTTTCAGCCCCCTGGGGAGGGAGGGGTGGGGGCCCAGTAGTGGAAATTGAGCAAATTCTTTAAAATACTTCCAGTGTTGAAATGATTTGATTTTGTCCAGATTTGATTTGAAACATGCTGATTTAAGACAAAATAGTTTTGTACCAATAATGTATTTAACATCCTTTGGAAGGAGAGGTGGGCCTAAATAGGGGAAATTGATACAAATATGTGTTCTCCTTGGTCCTTTAAGTTATGCTCTAGATGGTTATTGATGTTTACCTTGTTACATATCATTAAGTCACTTGCCAATACTAGATATATTGGAGGGGAAAGAAAAGATCCAACTGCAGACAGAAGCAATAAAATCATACAATGGTGGGCACTAAGATCCCTCTGGGATCAATTATAAAAACAAAGAGATTATTTATAGTTATAAAGGTTAGGCGTATATCATACTGTCATAATTGATTTAATGTGCATGTAACATTATGTCTTCTACATATGTCTAATGATGTGGTGATTTGAAAATATGATTTAGCCTTGTTCTAGTCCAGCAACTACAGCTTTTCTTCAGAAATTCAGTCCTTTATTCTTGAGTTTAAAATAATTTTTTGAATGCAACAAACCTATACCTTTATGAGAACACTTTATAGCTGTAGCGACCAGGCGTCTATGTGGATGGTGTTTTATTTTGTTTTTTTTTTGTTTTTTTTTTTTTTTGTGAAAATTGAAACACTGACCAAAGAAAAGCCTAGTGGACGGATATTAGAACATGGATCTAGTTTGTCATTTTGAAAGTTGCATGATGGATGGTTGTAAAGGCAATGCTGAAGAAATGCACAGAAATGTTACCCCTTCAAATTTGAATGGTGTTTTTAGTCTGGATTTCTCTCCCCCAACTTAAAACATAATTTTTTATCCATTTGGAATATGTGATACATCCAGATTGCAGTTTTGCTCCTGTCATCATTTTACAATTTGATCATTCATTAAGTCATAGATTAACACAGTTTTTGAATTTTAGTTGCAAGTTTGACAAAAAAATGTTTAAAAGCTGTTTATTTTGTTTAAAGCAGATACTGACATTTATGATTTTAACATTTTATGTTCTGTAACAAACAAACACACTCAATAACACTGATGTAAACACAGCATCTTCTACACTCCGTGTATCACTCAACCTCTTGTATTACTAGCTATTATTAGCTTATTATACCATTTATTTTCAAAACGGTTTTCAAAAGTCACATTTTGATTTCTTTAGTTCTTGTTTTGTAGTAACTTTTAAACATCAATGTGAATGGGGAAAAATGATTGAATTTGAAATGTAGGTAACAGAGATGTACAAATTCAGTTTAGAGAAGTAGACCATAGACAGATTTAAGAATATCTGCTTGACCAATATGTTATTTCACAATACAAGTGTTGAAAAAGTACTAAAATCCTGACACAAAATTTACCACTATGATGTCTTAGACTCACGGAATTGTACAACCTTGATTCAGGTTAAAAAAAAAAAAGAAAATTAAGCTATGCTATTTGTGACTGTACGAATCCTGATGGGTATAGAGGTACACCCTGAGTAGAAGGATTGCTGTTTAACCTGATTGTCAGGGGGAGGCAATGCACTGGTGACCCTGTGTACACAATGTACTTGTGTTTCTCTACAGTTCAGAGAGTATGCAATTTTTTTAACTAATGGTGAGAAGCCGGGAAATCCAGGGACGCCTAACAGTATAGGGACGGAGGAGGATGGGGAGGTGGTCGTCAACATGGAAAAATTACAAAGGGCTGCCAACGAGGTATGTTGTGTGGTGCAGTTAGTGTCACAAGGAGTCTTAACAGTACTTACCACTATATACACTTCAGCTGGCATGGGTTGCCATGCCATTTGACGAGGCATCTGGGTGGTTGAGTTAATGGTAAGGTAATGCATGGTACTGTAGGAAGGTGAAAGAGCTGCACCAAATATACACTAGCTATATACTTCGTCAAGGTGGGTTTGTAGGTTGGTGAAGGAGTTGTGTCATATTATACTCTAGCTGTACTCCATGTTTTGGTGGGTTGGTGAAGGAGTTGTGCCACATTCTACACTAGCTGTACTCCATGTTTTGGTGGGTTGGTGAAGGAGTTGTGCCACATTCTACACTAGCTGTACTCCATGTTTTGGTGGGAATGGAGGGTGGTGAAGGAGTTGTGCCACATTCTACACTAGCTGTACTCCATGTTTTGGTGGGAATGGAGGGTGGTGAAGGAGTTGTGCCACATTATACACTAGCTGTAATCCATGTTCAGGTGGGAATGGAGGGTGGTGAAGGAGTTGTGCCACATTATACACTAGCTGTAATCCATGTTCAGGTGGATTCGGAGGGTGGTTAAATGTAGCATATATACACCAGCTATACTCCACATTAGTCATTTAAGTGGGTTTCTATACACACTAGCTATACCCCTTGTTTTGGTAGATTTCAAGGATTATGAAGGAGTCCCATCATATAAAATCAGCTATACTCCTCATTTAGAGGGGGATTCTAGGCTGAAGGAAATGCACTCCTTGTTGAGATGGAATGGCAGTGTTATGAAGGAGCCACGCCATCTCTACACTAGCTATATTGTTTAGAGGGGTTTTTATGTTGGCTAATAGTCAGGGTTTTTTTTTTTTGTTTTTGTATAGACACAAGAATACTTGTGTATAGGGGATTTTGAGGGTGGTAAAGGAGTCGCGCCATATATACACTAGAATACCCATGTATCGATGGGCTTGTAGAATGGGGAAAGGTTTTGCACCATAATTATATACCATATTTTCCGGATTATAAGGCGCAGCTTTTTTCCTTGGCGTTTGGGCATGCAGCTTATATGCCAGTGCAATTTATATATGGATGAAAAGAAAATTTGCAGGAAAAAAAAAAAAAAAAACAGGCATACCAGTACATTAGTAAGAGAAAGTACCAAGATTTTTACCTGTCCATGAAGTGTGACTGAAACAGATTGTCTAGGATCGTCATTTGCAATCGTATACAGGATGATTTTAACATTGAAATAAAAATAGCATTCTCGTGGATTTAATTAATCATACCTCTTAATATGAATAACAATAATATCATCTGAATTTTCCTAGTTGCTTCAGAAGCCATACCAGAAGTTTATAATAGCCTGTTGCAACCTGGGACCGATAGGTTACAGTTTATAGGTCAAATTCTAGAACAATGCCATGCTTGTTTACGATAAGAGTGGCTTTGTGTTTCTTACAAGAAATAACTATTAAGAATTTTGACAACATGCAAGTGCCTTTGCTAATATTTAACAGTGATAACGCCAATGGAGATACCGTTAAGTGAACTCTACCTACCAACAGGCCCTATATCTGTACGTAGACAATCTGTGGAGGCTCGCAAGCCAAACAAGTTCAATAATTGCTATTTTACATTTTTGAAACACATCAACAAAATAAAGGGTTAACTGTTTACAATTCATTTGTGAACTTATGTTAAATGTTTCACTGACGATCTTGATAAATTGCCTTCCATTGTCTGTTACATCAACAAACTTTGGTCTACATAGCGGCTACCACATCATAGAAAGGATGTGACTTATATTTCGTTGCGGCTAATATGTGGATCAAATAAAAAAAATTATTAAAAATAGACTCTGCAGCTTATATACCAGTGCGGTTTATAACCTGGAAAATATGGTACACTAGAATATTCTTGTATAGAGGGTTTGTAGAGTGGTGAAGGTTACACACCATATATACACTTGATATACTCGCATGTTGCCATTTAAAAGATTATGAAAGGAGTGGTTTTACATATTTACCTAACATAGATGTTTTTATTGGGCGAGGTAGTTGAAATGCTTTTACATCATTTAGATGATGGTGTGAAAAATTTTCTTGATATCAGAGAAAAAAATATGGTTCTGTTGCCATAGTTTCACTAAGTTTGGTGGTCAATGGTACAGAACTAGGACTGGATAGTCAAGTTGATAATCAGAAGGATTTCTTGTTTCTAGATATTGAGGGTGCTTCAGCTGATCATATAACATTCTGTCTTGATTTATGGGTATAACTAGTGACACTTTCTTACTCACTTAATGGCCCTGCAGACAAAAGGTTACTAGTGTTGTGGACAATGGAATGGAAAGGTTGATGGCGAGAAGGGGTCTGATCATTGCATTTGAGGATAAAATTGTTGGTTGAGGGACACAGATGGTGTATTAGGGAATTGAACGCTATGTAATATTCAAGGAGCTGTGTGTTTTTTTTAAATGTTTGTTTTGTTACTACACATCTTTACAACTAACTTCATCATTTTCCTTCTGTTTGCTTTGTTTTATAAAAACAACATCTCAAATAAAAAGCAGTCTCAGAAATTACAAACATGTTAATTTGCATCCTGTCAATTATTACATATTATAGATACAAGCAAGTAATGCTAAAAAAATGGGCAAGAAAACAGAGGTAATATACATTTTAGTTACAAGACACCTGTCTCTCTTTCTCTCTCTCTGGCTGCAGAAATAGCCCACTGATGTAGGGAAGTGTGCTAAAAGGGCAGGGAATGTTGCTTCTGCAGCAGTACATGTTCATCCAGCATTTCTGTTTTTCCTAAAAAGAGAATCTTATGTCTATCAAGCCTCTTGTGTGCCATCTTATTCTCTAGTGAAATCAACAGTGTGGATGTATTTCCTTGCTGATCTTTCCTTCCTTTTCTGTATTGGAATTGACAAAATGTTCAGGTATATGGCAATTTGAGATTCTGTATTAGGATAGACGCGTTAACCAGATTAATATCTCTATGTCATTCTTTACGCAGTTTCCTGACGGTTAAAAGCAATTGATGACAGAAAAACTTCAAATGGAAGTTTATACATAAAAGAATATAAGCATTTGATTTCATTAGAGAAATACCACTCGCCTTTCTGAATATGCTTGTAAAATCCGTTGCAAGCTTCTTCAACCAGCACTGCATTTATGCATCCAGATCAACTTTACAATGAAATATTTCAAATTCATTTTCAGTATTAATATGACAAAGACAAAGGTTGAAGTTTTGTATTAAGATTTCTTTGTTTTTGTTTTGTCCTTTAGGCTCAAGAATGTTTCAGTCAGTATTTTTATCCATGATATATTTCTTGTCTTAAAATCTTAGTTTCCATATTTTATTTTCATTGATATGAAATTGTGCTTATAGACTTTTGTGATTTTTTTCTCCCATCACATCTTATTGTTAGCCAGTATGTTTCTGAACTGTGTGAATCATTCAGTGTTCCTATTTAGTTTAAATTACGTTCCCATATATTTTTCTCCCCTATAAATTTTGATTATTTTATAGTGTATTACTTAGTGAAACCCACCATCAATTCCAGATTTTAGAATTGAAATTTTTTTTTTTAAAAACCTTGAATTCTCAGTTAGGTAATTGCTTTATCATTCTTGGATGTTCTCCCACCCTTTATAAATGGTACTCACCGGAATTTAGATGCCTATCATAATGAACTTGGCTCTCACCAGGTCATTCTTTTTATGGATACCGTTCTCAATGGACGTTGTTCTTGTGGGCTCGTTCTGTTTATGAATACCATTCTCCTTGGACTTTTTCCTTTTGAAAATAAATATTTTGATCAGTAACATTTAAGGTATTTTCCACAGACCTTGTTCTCATTAGATAGTTTGATCTAGGGCTATTATTTTTCCTGGACTTCTCTTCTGAAAGGTATTTAATGCCAGATGTAAACACTCTTTGAAGACCAACATTATTTAAAGACTCCAAGACCATTAGAAAGGTCTCTTAAAATTCATGGGATTATGGTTTAATATAACTGGAAAAAGTCCAATGGTTCATTTAGCTTTAGCCTTTGATTAACATTACTACTATGACACTGAAGATATTTATCATTTCTTTCTTGACAGAATATGAAAGTTTTTAGTAGTATTTTTCAAAAGGGTAGGTAAGCTGAAAACATTGTGCATGGAGTTAACATTGACATGTACAGGCCCCAAGCATGTCCACTTTTTGACAGTTAAGTGGTCGGGACCAGTGTAATGGGACCCTCAGCATTCATTTGCATTTTACTAACCTTACATCCAAGATTGGTGTTGTCCTAAAGCAACAAAATTTTTGAATTATGATTTATAACATTTTAATCCCATTGTGATTTTTTTTTTCACACAATCTTTACATATATAGCAGCTTTTTGTTGTGTAATTTATGTCTTAAACTTATGAATGTTCAGTAACAATATAATTTATCAAGGCAAAAGTTGAATCATTCCCTTTGATTTTTTTTTTCAAATTACTGATCCTGTTGAATAAATCTCAGTTCAGATTTGGAGAAAAGATCATTCCGTCTGAAATGTTATGGTCACAGGTTGAAGCATTCCTGCAAATAGGCATTTGTAATAATCTAACCCTGGTCTTGTTAATTTGATTTTGGAGATGGTACACTTTTCTGTGGTTGATTATAATATAAACATCACCTGTTCTTCATTTATCTCCACAATTAAATCACATTGGAGAGACTTGGTGTTTGTATGAACTTGTTGATACTTATATAATCTAACACATTTTAACCTGTTTGCCTGTTGAAATTTTGATGTATCCGTGACAGTACTTGATAAAATGGCCAACTATTATTGTATTGTAAATTTCTCTTTAAAAGAAAGCAATTTGCCTGCATTCAGATATATGACATAAGATTCTATCCAACAAATATCCAACTACCACATGTCTATATCACTGTGCACCAAGACCTTAACCTCATCCCAGAATTGTTAAAATATCTAGTATAGAATGCAGTACGAAAGATTCCTAAATGCTGAATTTACACAGTTGGGAACTTGTATTTACCATGCCATGTTGAATGTAACCTAGTATTTACTCAAGCCACAATCTTTACCCCAATGTGACCATCCTTTCTTCAATTCACAAAAAGCTTATCCAAAGGAAATCCATCAAAAGATGAAATGGTCTCACTCATGAAATGATGTACCTTAACCATTTCTGATTTCTTCCTTGTGTATTACATCTGAGGTTTTCAATTCACCTCTTGCATCTAAAATTGGGTTAGGGCATACCAGTAGCATTCCTTGTTTTTTGTGTACTTATAGGTCTGAAATACCTTCTTTTTTTTCCTTGATGTTTCATCATCTTGTAAGGATTTGTATTTTTTAAAGGGTAAATATTCTATGCATGTTGTTTCATTCAGTCATCAGGTGAATTTTAGTGATTTCTCTTTAGTTTATTTTTTTCAAATGCAGATTAAAAGTTTATAATCAATTTCGTGTTTTGTCAAGTGGTTAAGATTTTTTGTATTAAGATAAATGTATGAAAAAATATAAAGATGTCACTAATAATGAAAAATATCTGTTATAAAAATGAAGAAATTAAAATGACCTCATTAAAACTAGTAACCTTTGTAGCATAAATTGGAGTAAAATTAAGCTATAGCTTTGTGCTCTCTTGATAACCTTCCTGTAAATGTCATATCAGTTTTGTAGATTTAAACAGCTTTCTTGTGCTGTGTAAGATTAAGCTTAAATGTAAAATGATTTCTTTTGGTTACCTGAAATGAAAAGTTCTTTTTTCGGAGTGACATAGACCATTAGTCTAGCCTGCTTTTACTTATCAGCTCAAATATTTTCTCTCAAAAATTGCTCTATTTATATTGAGAAAGACTGACTTTAAGAGGATTATGATGATCTTGGCATATTGCAGTCCCATATTCAGCAGACTGCATCAATGCTTGATACTGGAAATAATTTCATGTATGCTTTGTTTTTGTTTCATTTTCACATGCAGCTCATGGTAAGAGATCTTACTTATGTTGACATAGCGGTTTTCCTATAACATAGATCATGGTGTGCTTGTACTATTCCCCTTATAACCAAAGACTGCTGTCAGTCGAATATTGATGATTTGAGACCTTTCCATAATTGAAAGAATGATTGCCACAAGTAGCTTTCAGTTAAATTTTTTTTTCGTTACTAACACGTGTGTCTTTATACAGCAATCTTTTTCGGTGAAACCTTCCAGTGATTCTGTTCTTGATGTTGTCTGGTTGATTGTTGTCAATCATTATTCTGTCTCTGAGGTCATCATTATCCTTTTTCTTTTTTACTATCTGTGTAGTATGGAAAGGGGTCACTTCAATTTATTGGTGTTGTCATCTACACATGTTTACATAGCAACAATTGTGGTACATGCATGCCAGTACTTCTTGCAATGACTAGTGATGTCATTAAATGAAGGGAATTTTAACCAGTAAATTGAGCTCTATGATATAACATGATGAATTAAACTGGAACTTAATCATTGTTTTGTTACTTAAAGACGGGCTTTAGATCAGAAGGTAAAATAGTTACCTTTCTAAAAATGATTGCATACATTCTCTCTGCCAGTCACCTTTTTTAAAACAGGGAACACATCCATTTCTTCAAAATTCTGCTTACTGATAGGTGACTAAACTTTTGACATAGACAAAGACATTGCCCTTGTTCAGGATTTTGAAGAAACAGTGCAAAGTCTAATAACGTGCAAAGCATACACATTACCTTTTGAATGATCAATCTTGTTCCTCTGGGTAACACAAGTCAAGAAATAGCAAAATTTACATGAAATATACTATGATTAATTGTATATTTGTGGTTGCTGGTCACAGAGATTTGTTTGGTGTTGATGTCATATTATTGATTGTTTCCCTTTGTGTGTCTCTTCTATTCTATGCCTGGTTTACCTGGTCTTGTTGGCTTAGTTATATTGCAGCTTTCTGTCATGCTACTTCTACACCAAGTGGTTGCTTAGTTGTTGGGTATGTACGTAGGATTTGACAGAAACCTGTGACATGTCATCAATCGGATGTATATACTATACAATACATGCATATTTTGTATTCTGGGTAAAATTTGTGTCACTGAGATTTAGAAAATTACTCTACAATATAACAATACATTAATTACACTGTCAGATATCAATTACAGTTCATGTCTTGTTTCGTTTTGTAACAATGTGTGTTCCTGTTTGACTTTAGTGTAATGTAGGCAGTGTATGTGAGTATACACTAAGATGTACCAGTGGACTTCAGGCCATGACAAGGCTCTGAAGGCTTCACTATCAAGCCAGTATAGATGGCTCTGAACAGTTATTCAATGCTTTGTTAAGCTTTGCTACTTAAATTAATCTACTCATAGGTTGATTAATGATTGGGCAGTATGCTGTTCTGATAATTGTTTCAAACATATTCATTTAAATTTGGGGCTCTGGAAGACACTCTTGTGTCTTGTAATTATCTGTCTGGTTTTTGTTTTAACATGACAACTTTATGATGTTATATTTCATTTCAGTTGTGCAATAATGCTTACTATGTCATTACCCTGCTTACATTAATACCCTATCTCGAACTAAGTAAAGGAAGGGTATATAATAATCATTTGTGTGCTTGCATATGTCTCTAAGCATGTGTGTAGGCGTTTGTCTGCTGCATGAACCTCTCACCAAATTTAGTTCATTTCAACAAGTTCTGTACCTGATTTGATGTCATCAGTCAAGGTTACAGGTTGAGAGGTCAGACTTTTGAAATGAAAAGCTGATGTACAAGATATCTGAACAAACACTCCACAGATCTAGTGTGTATTCACACCACAATGGTATTTTAATGTTCAATTTTCAGTTGAGTTAGGGTTATATCTATGTTCACATCAGAATTCAGAAATGTAAACTTAAAATTAGACAAGGTTATACACTTTTACATCTGTGTAATTTGTAATAGTGAGGTTCTAAGTCAATGAGGCATTCATTAAAGAATAGTGAATTACAATAGTACAAAGGGATCCTAGATACAGTGTGATGTCTTGGGGGAGATCAGTTGCCAGGTAACAGAGGTATATTGTGGCCTATCAGTGGAAGCACTGATGATTGTATTGGTATGTTAATTCAATGCTCATTCAGCTGATGGGGCACTGCTTCCAATCGGAATTGCTTGCATGTATCAGTAGAGCTAATCACTGAACGTAGATTTTAACCTCCTGTGTGTTTCAATCTTGGATAGATTTGCTCTTTCAGAAATATTTACATGTTGACAAAAAAAACTGTCTTTGTGAATTAGGTACATGACTCCAGGCTGTACATCAGTGTTAAACCAGTCACTTGTAAGGCTCAATGTAGACAGCTGGTTGAAAGTTCTGTAATCATGATTAATGTTATCTGCAGCCTATGCTGTACTTATTTTAAAAACTTTATTCTGTCTTTATGAAACAATATATTACAATAAATGTTTGCATTTAGTAGATTGTTTGTTCGCTTATCTCCCTTTAGTTCCACGCTGATGCTAAAGGATTGGACATGCTCACCTCTGACTTCGGAAAAGTTTGTAGTCACACTGGGTCCTTCCCTCTCACCATCCCCTGTTTGTTTTTGTGTCACATTGTTTCTAACTCTTTACAAAATGTTTTTTTTTTCTGTGCCTTTATGAGTTCACAGTTTCTTTTTTTAAACACAGTTTGAACATGTCATGATCAAGGGTTATGATAAGCTTTGTGGTGGAAGTACACCAGTTAGTAAGAATCTGTTGGAAATTGTCATACATATTGATTAATCTGTATGATTCATATTGTAAAAACAGTAGATTTCCAGTAAAAATCAGGTAATATTACAGTTTAACTTGTACATCTGCAATAATTACACCAAAACATAATCAACATTCCAGCTTTTGTCTTCTGACTTCAAAGAGAATGTAGAATACGGCAGACAGATGTTTCGACCCTAAATGGCTTGGCTTGACATAATTTACCTTTCTGATTTTATGTGTTATTCAGTTTAATAAATATCAAGACTTTAGATTTGTTAAATTTTAAAACAATAAATAATGTGATGTTATTGAGAACTTTGCATGCTTAAACACTAGGTTCAGTGCATGTTGTTACAGAATATATCACCATTGTTTTTAATGCTGCTGTAAATTAAATTTATTTTGAATTGAAATTGAGCATACTTTCGTAAGTGGTATATTGATTTTGTCTCTAGTGTGTGCAATTTTTAGCAGTACCTTAATATAAAACACGAAATTATAGAGGGAACTGCCAAGTGGTTCATTGTCATGGTCAAGGCCCTGCTGATTTAGTATCCTCAATCTGATTTAGCCTTATTTCTAAAAAAAAAAAAAAAAAACAAGGGGAGAAAAAAGGGAAGAAAAAATCTTAGTAGAAAGTCCTAGCTTAAGGTAATGTGTTCCAGATAATTCTGAGTTAATGTCAACAGATTACAGTTTTTGGGAAATTTTGTCCAGATCTCACGAAATCTATATTGTTTTCTCTCCAAAATGTTCACATTTATTTAACATGATTAATCCAAATAGAGCATTTTACTTTTGTTTACCTGTTTTACATGTGTTTTTAATTAACTTCATATCTAAACTTTTTTACTTTGTTGCTAAATTCTGATCATTGTATCAGCCAGTTGATCACCAGCAGTATAGATCATCTTACTACTTTTCAGTCTGCCTTACATTATCACGGCAATGAAAAAATATATCTATATACATATACACCGAAGTAGACGATTTTCAGTTGCTCTATTACGATAGTTTCTTTTATACTGGTGAACTGTTGTTTAAAATTAATCTCATCATTGGTGTTTTCATTGTTACAGCTACAGAAGAAAAAAGCGAAAGAAAAACCACTGTTGCGTCGAAAGTCAGAATTACCACATGACATGACTATGATAAAAGCGTTGGATTCTCATAAGCGATCGGACGATTTCCTTTCTACCTCGTCCGAGGGAAACAACTGATGTGTCGGACACAAACCTGGCCGAATAGACACCGTAGAGGAGGGCGACATTTTTACTTGCTTTCACTGGACAATCATGCTAACAAACAAGGGGACGTGGGACCTGACCAATGGGGACAAAGGGCCCCGAAGAGTTGTAACTACTTGGACACTGATGACCAGGAAGGTGACCTTGTGATGCGAGTCAGTACTGAGCAAAGCAAGGCTGTGTACTGTATCTGGTAGTGTGTAGATAATCATTATACATAGATATGAATATTATATAAACAAATTTTTAATCTATTCATTTTATTATTGTACATAGTGTAAGATTTATAATTTTAATTTTTTGTTCGGTTGCATGTACAGAACTGGTATAAAAACCTGGCTGTGGAATTGGTGAAGGGGAAATATATGTATTTAAATAAGATTTACTTTATAATGTACATTACATGTTGATATGCTCAACTGACAGGCTTCAGTTCCATATCAGACAGAGTTGTTCCCTTTCACTGCCGAACCAATCAGGATTTTATACGTTTGTGTGTATGTGTGTGTACATGTGTCTGACAGCATGTTTTTATAACGATACGGACCAATAATTTTTTGTTTATAGAGAGAGACAACCCAATAAGGAGATAAAAGGTCAGATTGTCACAAAGGAAATTACATCGTAATACTTGTAAAATAGAATATGATTATGAGTAAAGATTATTTTCTTCTGGTGAGTAACTTTGCCCGAAACTAGTGTTATGGAAATATGTCTGGTTGTGTGCAAGAGAGGAGAAGAGAGATGAACTATTGGCCTGCTTTTGGAACAAGGCTATGCACACTATTTGTGTAAACTGTGAAAGTGACGCATGTGTGAATTTATTTAGCAACATGTGTAACTTGCCAAAACAAGGCTGTTATGTCATGTTCAAAGATAAAATAATTGTTTTACATTCAATTTTGTTTAATTTGATTGATAGGAGTGATAAAGGAGACTGACTAAAGCTACATTTTCTTGACAAATAAACCTTCGTTTTATATCTGAATATAACAAGGACCTTGAGTTAATGTTTTTAGAGGTGTTTGAAGGATATTGTCATTGATTTTTTTTTTTTTTTTTTTCTATGAATATTTTTAGTTTTAGTAGCTGAATAGTTCTGTTTAGCTGCTCTGGAAAGCATTTCAGTGTAATTACTCTGGAGGGCTTTGAAGTGTAGCTGCTGTGGAAGGATATTCAAGGTCGCTACCTATCTAGATATGGTACATGTATCTACACTGACATGTGCAACCTCGAGTTCTGTGGTAATATGATATCATCTATTGATTGTGTCTCGATTGAGGTGCACAACCTCTGAATCAGTGGCATTAAGATATTTTCCATTGATGGTTCTCCACTGAGGTGCACAACCTCTGAATCCGTGGCATCAAGGTATTGTCCATTGATGTTTCAATTGAGGTGCACAACCTCTGATTCAGTAGCATCAAGGTATGGTCCACTGATGGTGTCTCGCTTGAGGTGCACAACCTCTGATTCAGTGGCAACAAGGTATTGTCCATTGATAGTGTCTGTTTAGAGGTGCACAGCCTTGAATTTATGGTAGTTTGGCCTGCATGACTTCTGTAGTGTCCTGGCAACTCAGCTATGTGCCAAGTATTTCTAGGGAATGTAATATATTAGTATCTGTGATTCTTTATGGGAACAATTTTTAGGATATCGCAATGGTCATAATAGCTTGTTAGTATCAAACTTTACCATCCTTTTGGATAGCCAGACTCTTCTCTCCATCATAAGTCATCATATGGTAAGGTTTGCTAACTTGCATTAAACTTAATGTTGAATGTGTTTTGGAGTAATTTCTGGTGATGATATCACACAATTAGTGAGTGTATGGTGACGGTCTAAAGATATGACATTTTTCCTCTTTTGAATATATGTGAAATCCCAGAAAAGTGTCTTGACAGTGTCCAACATTCCCTTCACAGTTTGGACCTTGAATTTGATGGCTGGTCCTGAATTTGTAGATCTAGATGCCTGTGAATGATCTCCCCACCTCTCATTAGTACTAAGGGGTAGGATTTAGATTGTGAAGAGTGACATACTACTCCAAAAGTTTCCTCCCTTAATTGTTGTCCACTATGCAAATCTTTGGAGGTTTAGGCTGAGTGTACAGGAACCTATCATCACTGTATTCCACCCAGGGTTAAATGTTTGTGAGCTGGAGTGGTGCGACTGTTACAATTTATATCGTTTTTCTTTTCTTTTTTTTTAAACACTTCAGACAATTTCTGTAGCAATTTTTCCCCTGGTACATTATCACTCTTTGTCTCTGTGAAATCTTTAATAATTTCACCTATAGGCAGAATCACAATGAAAGTGCTCTAGTTATATGGATGAACACATTCAATGACATATTGAGTTTCTGGTCCCATACATTCAGACATGTGCAGCAGCATTTAGTTTACATTTCCAATTGATTATGATAACTAGTTACATTATTCCTCACCAATCCTATTCTTTGTAAGTTCATATAATGGTCTTTGTGTGAACAAATCATGTTTTTGTTCAGTTTTGTACCACAGTTGTTGAAGACAAATGGTAACTTGTCAGGTTTGTGCTGTACAAAAATGTGTTGTTTGAGATTATTTTCTCATTTCTAGAATCCTAGGGCGAGTTCAATGCTCTGCAATTGCTTGAATTATTCAAACATTCAGCCCAATTTATTGTGGGACTGGTGAATAATCAAATCTCAGTGTTAACTTTAGAATGTGATTTAATTCGGGCATAATGTGATTGCTAGACTTGTATAACAAGGTGGGTTCACTAAAAGTGAAGATGTGATTTTGCATGACTTTTGTGCTAACTCTACTTATGATAATGCATTCAATGAAATACTCTCTGCTCTAGCTAAATATTAAACTAAACTTATAATTAATGATAAAAAACACAAATTGTGGCCCCATAAGCATAGATATGTATACCATGGCCAATTTTACTTATGATGGAATTTATACAGAAATCAATTAGTTATGATTGAATGTATACAGAAATTAACATTACTGTCTGATGGAGTTTTATTCTCAGAAACCTAAAGGTTCCACTGTTTTACAAACATTTACCCTGAACTGAAATCACTAGGTGTACGCATCACCTTGCCAATGATAGTTGATAGTCTTGCTTATCTGTGATCTTGAAGTATAATGTTGGTTAAGAAAATGTGAATCACATGGCTGTTTATTTGGTGAGTTTTCATCTCTCATGACCTCTGTCTTCAGAGCATAGTGCCAATATCTAACTACATCAGAATCGATCAATTTAAGGTGTCTGGTAACAATAATGAATAGCAATTGGTATTTGTATTGTCCTACCATTCAAAGAAGGAAGACATGTTGAAAGATTAAACATTATGGATTTGGAAGATGGAGTTCATCTTCATTCATTCCCAGACAATCCTTTATTTCTGTCGGTGAATGTAACTTTTCTTTAACACATTGCTTCATGGTACACGATTCTAATATTTTTTGTGTACTAGTGTAGTTATTCTCAGCTTTTTGTATTTATTTATTACTGATAAGTAGAGCTGGAGATTTATTTACTTGTAGGGACCACATAATCAAAAGACAATGAATTTTTAGTTCGATCACAGCATTTCATTATAATGACCTGAATGCCCTCCCTGTGACCATTATAATCGTGACTGATGTGTACACACGAGATTTTTCTGTGTTTTTTGAAGTGATGTATTGGTGTACATATCATGTACATTATTTCAATGCAATTTTTTAAGTACGTGTAACTACAGTCATTGTAGAGACAAAAAGCAATCTTTTCTACTGTATGTATTACTATATTTCAAATGTCCAAGCCTACCTAGTAATCATTTACAACCTGAGAAATATATCGGAGAATATATATATATGTAAAGCTAACACGTCAGCAGTTTGAATCGCTACATGTATTTTGGTTGTGTTGTGATCTCTATAGTTTTTTGTTTGTCTCTAGATAACTGAAGTAAGTGCACGAAATGGATGTCTCTGAAAACAACAAAAATTCTTCATAAACAAAAAAAAACACATTTAGATGAAATGCTCATTTTTGATAAAAATTGTTTTTACTTTTCCTCGTGTACTTAAGGTCCTCAGTTTTATGTGGAGCACAAATGTATTATCGTAATTGATTTATTTCATTTTAAGCTTGTTTCTTTTCTGTTTGTTCTCTCTCTCTCTCTTTTAATACATGCATATGTAATGCAATGAGCATTTCAGTTATGATCGGTGATATATTATGTTGATATGTGTCCTAAGGGTACATATCTAACGAGACAAGTGTGGATGTATACATAGACCTGTATTAACTGTGATTATTTGTAGTATCATTTTTTATCAGGAACAAAACTTCTTTTATGGGTGATGTAAGGAAATGAATGCCTGTCTACCCCAGATTTATTGAGTCAGCAATGACATGACTCTGTTATTGCAGAAACTTGATACTGGTGGATGTTAATGTAATGAACTGTTGTCATTCTACAGAAACAAAAACACATGTCTGTACAATAAAACAAGTAGTAACTTGTGAGAATGCAGGATTTGTCTTGTGTTTTTCCTACCACATATAACATTGTAATTCACACTTGGCTTAATATTTCGTATTCACCATTATTTCTGCATTTCAGTATCTCCAGATGTAATTAAATTCAATGAACTATTCATCAAACATACACACTGGATGAATTAGGCAATATATACATGTAAAAGCAATTTGAGAAAAAAAGACTTTCGGAATATATCTCAAGAAAAATCACATATAGGTAATACCAAAAAAATAATCTTCAAAACAGCATTTTAATAGACAGGTGTAAAAATTGGTAATATTCTAACAGCATATCTCTTTGATAATTCCACAATGTACAAAACACCATAAAGTTAAAATTTCACTACTGAAATAATGTGAAATAGAGTCCATCACAGCTCCACCAGGTGTATGAAGATTTCAGACAATCCTCAGTAAGACAATGCCTAGCAATAGGCAGAGCCACGGAGACAGAAGACCTGTAACTAATTAAAATTATTTTATATGGGATAGAACAGCCATAAGTTGAATGGACCATCTGCTGTCACATAGTAAGGCAATGTACCTTTAATGGGTAAATAACATCATGGTAACACATGGTACTTGTATCCTAGTACAAAGCTATTACTACCACTAATAATCTTAAAATTGTCACCTACTCCCGCTCAGATTTCATGCTAACCATACTGACAATCAAAATTTTGTAATATAAAGACTGCTATTATATATATTGCTGCCTTTGTGTCTCAAAGCTGATTGGTTTATCCAATTTTCAATCACAATGTAGTTCACAAAAATTGCTTTAAAAAAAAGGTTTAGCCAACCATCAGATGGTATTCATGACCTTTGTCAGTCCATCCTTTAACAATTCTTGTCATCACTATTTATGAAGGAACACTGGCTTGGTTATTCCTAAACTTCATACATCAGTTTGCCTTGGTCCTAGATGTGCATTGTCCATTTTGTGAGTGATCAGAAACACTAGAAGATTGACAGGTGGCCATCTTGGTTTCAGACATTCACAGGTATCACTAAATGTAGGTTCCGTTTTGGTTTTTAAGTAAACCCTTTTAATTTTGAGACTGATTAGAAAAGGTCTGTCAGGTGGCAATCTTGGATTTTGACTAAAGAAAGTTTTTTATAGCTGTTACTTAGAAGTACTAAATGGATCTTTCTTGGATTCCCCTTGTCATGATTTCTGAAGAGGAATTTTCAAATATAATTAAAAACAAGAGACCTAGTGGCCTGGATGATCACCTGAGATAAGCAATATTGAAATGAAAGGTTACAGAATAGTTATCAAGCATCATGAAATAGAAATTGTGACACTGAATATAAACAATGTCAAAACAAACATTCCATCAAAACTGTCATCCTATACTGAAAATTCTTATAAAGCTATTTTCAGTGGGAAAAAACGTTATGCTAAAGAAAAAAAAATTTCTATGAAAATTACAGAAAAGCCTTAAAAAAATTGTCTTTCTCAGGAAGAAACATGAGACTCATTTTGGTTCTTGAAGAGTGTTTGATTCTACCATATCTAGGTCTTGAGAAGAAGGCTTAAAATTTAAGTCAGCTTCGCCAATCAGCCTCTGGGGGTCAGTCAGGATCAAAATGGGCATACCATGAAGTTGTCATCCTTCACTCATAATTCTAAGCAAGTCTGGAATATTTCCAATGGAAAGTCAACAAGTTATGCTCAAAAATCTAGTTTTCCTATATTAACTATGGTAAACCTTATCCACTCCCCACGGGGAAATATTGGACCCTGGGGTCATGGAATTCACAATTTTGGTAAAGCACCTAAAGATGCTTCCCTTTCATGAATAGTATTAGTATTTGATTCTACCATATCTGGGTCTTGAGAAGAAGATTTTTGAAATTTGAGTCAATTTGACCCCTGTTGGTTCACCCCTCAGGCCCCAGGGGGGGGGCGGGGGAAAAAGCATAATTCACAATGTTGTTAGATAAAACAATGATGGGCACCAAGATCCCTTTGGAATCTCTTGTTAACACTGAAAGACGCTGTGCATTATGACAAGGTTTCAAGGTCAGAGATTAAATAAGTACTAAATTTCTGATCTCTGATCAAATACTGTCTCCAGAATACCGGTATCAAATAAAGACTGGTTAAGAAAGAAATGTATGAACTAGGAGATATTTTTTATATATTTTATCAACATCAACTGTAATGATGTTAGGTCAACAATATCATTATAACAAATCTATCACAGATATTTCCTTTTGGAACATACTTGTATTCAATGATTGAGATTTATCTATTTTGGTTTTAGTTCTTGAACTAAAATTCGTCCAGCCATTGTTGTACATTTACCAGCACGTCGTCAAAGGAATTGCCTGCGCTATTTTCATGATCAAGTCCACCATAGTCATTCCCCTGTTAGAAAGAAATTGGTGATACATGGCAACATTACAAGGGATACCAGTTATGATTAAAGCACAGCAATCAATAATTTCCACTTCCAGGTGGGACAGTTACCATATAACTGCTTAAACACAATGTTTAAATTCATACCTTTTGGCATTCTAAACAACAAAAAAATCTTTCAGAATAATATTTAGTGAAATCCAATTCTAGTCCAAATAGCACACATGTATATTTGCCACCGGATGACAAAATGTCTTTTAGATTCGAATGTCCGAAACATGATATAAGATGGTCATTTCTGAACAAGATCTTGTCCTATCAGGTCATACTGATGATCTGTCGAAAACAGTGACCACATTCGCTTATGATTTCAGTATCTCCTACAGCTGAAATACCTAGCGTGATCACAGAAATTAGCTTATTTGACAAGTTTTTTCATCAAAATTTTTAAAGACTTGACAAAATAATACAAGTACTTACCTTGATAGAATAATTTTTACCATCCTGACATGTAAGATTGTTTAAATGATCTAATACTTCTGTCTTGCCACTATCATGTACAGGTAAATAATCTGTGTCTGCTGCAGACTGGTTTTGAGATGCCACTCCAGTGTTACAACTGTTATTTATGTTGTATGAATGATAATTGTAATAGTTAAATACATCTCCAGCTGGCCCAATACCAGTATAAGGGACAGGAGACACCACAGATTTCTGCCTGCTCTTGTCGTTACAACAGCTCCAGTAATCATCATATACCCTTCCTGGTGTACTTCTTGTAGAGACTTGACTGGAAGGGAGAAGAGGATAGTTCAAGCTGTTACAAGTGTTTGCCTGTTGAATGGATTCTCCAGTGATTTCTGTCCATGACGAGTTGTCTGATGGGTGTAAACACAGCTGTTATTAAAAGTAAATAGAAAGTATTTCAAACATTGATATACAGGCTAACATTAAAATTCCTGCTTCATGTTGTGCAACTCTTACGGATGTGGTTACTTTTAATATCACACAGGAATTGCATGAATTATCTCCATAGCACCAAAAGACCTTGAAAGCAGGATATCACACAGAAGGTACTTTATATAAGTAAATTAAAAGTTTCCTAGAAACATCTCGAAGGCAAATTGAATATTAAAGTAATCTAATTCTGGGCTATTATCTGGTATTGCTACACCAGGCAAAGAGTTAAAAAACAGATGTGATTTCTACTAGAAGTTTTACGTAAATCACTTCTTTCATCAGAATTAGCAATACGTACTGACTGAGTTATAAAATCACTCTCTGTAGTGCTGCTGAATTCTGGTAAAACACTATCTGCTGAGTTTTCTTCTGGGCCTTCAATACAGCTCCCTGCAGGAGCGACTAGCTTTTGATCAACAGTGAAATCATATCCAGCAGTTATGTCAAATGTATTCTTTCTAGATCCACACTCAGTAGGATGACCTTGACCTATGACTGTGAATCCACTACAATTGATGTTTTCCACAAAAGAGTCCTGCTCTCTACAAGTGTCGACGTCTTGTCTTCTGTTTGTGAAATCACTCACTATACAGACTTTATTTTCAAAGTCTGCAAAACTGCTCATCGAAATAGTTTCTTGTTCTTTATCTGGGAACTTTAGCTCTGTAGAGGATGACTTCTGATCTTGTGCCATGAAATGACTTTTAAACAATTCTTCCCCAAGGTCCTTATAACTACTTCTTGTAATCGTTTCATGCTGAGTCTCAGCGAAACTCTCCATATCATGCCTTTCTTCCGTGAAACAAGCATCGTCAATAAAAGTTTCCTCCATTTTAATGTCTGTTGATTCTGAAGAAGTTTGTTTTCCTAGGTCTGTTAAACTGATTCCTGTTGAGACTTTATGGTTGGATGGGTTCGTCTCTCCATAGGGCCCTCCTGCTTCGGTATGACCCCTGACTCCACACTTCTTGCTGGCTATGTCCCACAACCTGTTGGTGACCTCTGACTCCACAATTTGACTGTTGTTGATCTTAGAAAATAAAACTGTCATTTTCAATTCCTTTCACAATAACAAGCAAAAACATAATGACCTTAAGCCTTATTACATCCCCTTTTTATTCAGTCTAATTATCTCATTAATCTGAATTGCAATGGACCGCAAAAGTCCTACAGCTAGGGACCACATTCCTTTTCATGATTCAAACTCGCACAATCACCTGACAAATAATTTACTTTATGAAAGATTCATTTAGAACTTTGTAACAAAAACAGGGGCTGACATAGACATACCTCTCTAGTCCCTAATTTTTTGTTTGTGTCAAAAGTTGTGAAGTTTGACATTGGTGTGACATTTGAACTTTTAACCGTGAATGAGGACCACCAAAATCAAATCTGGTGTAGATCTTGGTGTATTGATACAATGATTTGAATACCAGATAATTCTGTTAGGGGGTTCATAATATTACACAATTTAAGCTCTGTGATGCAAGGACATATGTATTAAGCGATTACTACTGCAAATCATGTAATGTAATGGGTCACTTTCTTTCATGGTTTAAACCTAGCTATAGCTATGACTTCATTTAAAGGGTAAAAATTTTTGGTGGTACTCCGTAATTATACACATCATAAGAAGTTATTTCATGAATTTAAAGAAGAA